ACTCTTGATGAAGTGTACTCTCTCATTGGCAAGAGGTGGTCGATTGTCATTCATGCTCCGGATGTACGACCTCAGCCCGGACGCAGGAGGGAAAAAAGAATTCCTTCACAAGTTGATGTTGCAGTTAGGCGGTGTAAGCGTTGTGGTCGTCGTGGACACAATCGACGTACGTGCAAAGAACGTATATAGATCACTCATGTATTTTGTTCTTTGGGCATGTGTATATTTTTTTTTGTGCCCAAGTGTATTTTGTTTTTGCCTAGGTGTATTTTGCATTTGGTCAATTGTACTTTGTTTTTTGCCGGATAATGTCTTTTGATCAATTTGTACCAGTTATTTCTGAATTAGTACCATTTATTATTCTATTAAGTACCAGTTATTGATCAATTAATACCTACCTCCCTTGTAGCAAGAACGAAAAAAGGATTACTTCAAATTCTCTCATTTTCAAAATTAGTACATGTCATAGAGTAAAGCAGTACCTGTTTTGTGTCGTTATAGTACCGGATATCGGGTCTGCAGTACAACTTATAAAAATTTGGTTAATTTTAACTAAGGGGAAAAAATGAGTGCTGCCCAGGTGTTAGCGGCGCTAACCCATCTTAGCGACGCTAAGGCTAGGATGTTAGCGCCGCTAGCTTTTCTTAGCGATGAGCAGAGGCTGGGAGGCTTTCTAGGTTAGCGCCGCTAACCACCTTAGCGGCGCTATGGTTTGAACGAGAACATTTTCAATTTCAGGTACTGCGTATAAGAATAACAGGTACTAATTCAAGAAAAACAGGTAGCAAAAGTGTATTAAGTATTGTTTTTCCATTAATGCGTTGAGTTCGTGACCAATTTACGATTAAACTTAATTAAACAAATTTTCAATGTCATATAAACTAATTTGAGAGTGATTATGGGTCGTATGAACATAGTTTTCGACCCATATTCTTTGTTTCTATGTGTTCACTACAAGTGGTACAAAAGACCAGAAATGTGGTACTAATCTACCAAAAAGTGGTACTGACTAACTCTATGACTGGTACCACTTTTTTAAAATGTTGACCACAGTTGAAATAATTAATTATCCATGACAAAAGTAGGTACTAATCGACTAAAAACAGGTACTACATATAGGAAAAGGTGGTAGTATTTTTTCTAAATCAGGTACTATATTAAAAATCATGATATTTCTAATCTTTCATG